GAATATCTTAAATCGATTCCCCCCACCCCAGTGAAGACGTAGCCTCTCTTGTGCCTATTTCTCCAACTATAAAATAGAAATAGTAATCTCTGCCTACCTCACAGGGGTATTGTGGGGGTTCATTCAACTAACCTTTATAAAAGTCTTGGATCCTCCTATGGAAGAAACTACAGCAGTGCACAATGTGTTAATCAATGTGCTGATTAGTTTGAGGGGCAGTCACACAGGTTTTCAAGTAGGTTTGGGTGAACTGGTTTGGATTAAACCAGGGTCTAGCCGCATCAAACCCAAATTAACCCATTTTTTTGAGGTTTAAATAAATTCTGATAACTCTTCCATGGAATGTTTCTTAGAAAATGCATTCTCTCCCGATGAGTCCTTTGCACTGAATTTAGCAATGAGTTCAGAGCAGAAACGGAGGAACACATTCTGGGTTGATTAGAATGATGAGCAGTTTCGGTGCTGCCTAGAGTTGAAGCAAACAGATGGATTCTGTGTGAATGCATGTAAGTCTAGTGAATGGAGAGGCTTTCATGGGTAGGTCCCCTGAAGTTCAGAAATCCCCAAGAAGCAGGTCGCTGCAGGTTCTGTTTCTTGCTCTGTGGTTCTGCTTGAGGAACAGACCCCAACAAATGGCCTTGGTAACTCAAGCCCACTCGCTGAGTTAAATAAACCATCTGCAGTTTTGATACAGCTCCCCGCTCTGTTCTCTCAGAGAATGATTCTCATACTGAGGCACAACTCATGAGTATTAGGATTAAATTTTAAACTATTATGTTTTTATGGGCCTAATTCTCATTTTCACTAATGCCCTTTTGCACCACTCTCCTTTATATGACTTTAAGGCCCCTTTCCACGCCAGAGTAGTTCAAAGGGTCCTGTGTAAATGAGAATAGACCCTTGTAAGTTTAGTATTTTTTGTACTATATTTGCTAAATACTCAGGATATTATCCCTATTTGACCTCTTGGTGGAATAATCATGCATAAGGCTAAGATTTTGTCATGGGCAATAAGTCACGGACAGGTCACGGGCAATTAAAAAAAAATTCACGGAAGCTGTGACCTGACTGTGACTTTTGCTGCTGCTGCTCCATGGTTTCCCCTGCCACCGTGATAGCTGGGAGCTGTGGGGCCAGTTCCCCCTCTGCCCACGGCAGCTGGAAGGTGCAGGGGGGGGCCCTTTCTACCCCCGGCAGCTAGGAGCTACAGGGTGACCATATTTCCCGAGAAAAGGGGACACCCCCAGCCGCTCCCCCGAGGCATCCCCCTCCTTACCCCTTCCCCATACAAGGCTTCCCCATACAAGGAACCCTGCCAAGGCCCTGCTGGCTGCCAGCTCCAGAGTCCTGCAGCCCCTGAGGCTGAAGCAGAGAATGTCAGGGAGATCTCTGGAAGTCATGGATTCCATGACTTCCCTGACATAAACATAGCCTTACTCATGTGGTAATGTCACATCCCTCCCGGGACAATAACGATATGAAGTCATACACACACTATGGTGATTTCACTGCAGAATCAAACAGAAGAAAAGCTAGGCTGCAAGAGGGAACAAACTCTTCTGTTCATCCACCTGAACATTCTCAGCTGAGAAGTGGGAGTCAAGTAAACTCAGCTCTTGCCTCTCGTCTCCTCTCTTTCCTCCAACAACAGCCCTACAGCACTTTCCTCTATTTCTGAGGCCTTCCTCTTTCCCCAAAACATGTCTTCCCCATCCCTAGCCCTTCCTTAGTCCTAGCACCAGAATTTCTCTCCAAAGAGACAGAGAATCTCATGCTTTCGTCCCATCTTATTGCTCCCCTGGTACGTCACTCTACCAACTCAGTGCTGGTTCTTCCTCCTGCTTCAAGACCCTGCAAGGGGAGGGGTGGCATACGTCACTGTCAGAGGTTGGTGGAGAGGGAGAGTTCTGTCATGGGGGAAGCAAGTAAGGTCCATCCAGTCTCTTCTCTTAGTTACTAGAAACCTTCTACTTTCCCTGTCCCAGCTCCTCCTAGCAGCCTGGCTCCCATTCTAAGGAGTAAAGACAGGATTTTAAGTGCAGAACACAAACACTGGGGGGGAATGGGAAGTAAATTTCATGTTGTATAAATACGGACTTTTCAAGTTTTCCCCCAGTAAACTCTTACATAGAGTTTACTGGAGGAAAACTTGAAAAGTCCGTATTTATACAACTCTTACATAGAGTTTACTGGGGAAGGTTACTGCTGGGAATGTTACTGCTTTGATCCATTCATTTAAACTTTGTCTGTTTTATTTTCCTGCATCTGCAAGCCACAGACCACACCCTTGTGTTATTATTTTGCCCTCCAATTCACATGAACAAAATAAATATTCATTCGCTCAGGTCTCTGATGTATGGGCTGGGTGTGGTGCTCTTTTTTCCGGTGGATTGTTTTTCTGTCCCTGCATGCCTGACTGTGCTCCTGTAAGAATATAATATTAATATAATTCCTTAAATGAATCCTGTTGGGAGAGGCGTTAGAGGACAGCATAGATAGTGTAGTACCTGAAACTGCACATCAAGGCTGGCTGAACATAATAACAAGCTGTTCTGTAGACTGTGATTTGAAAGCAACATGAAAACAAAATCTGAGTTGGGGTTACTCTTTCGTTTTTCTACAGATCACATTTTCCCTTGTCATGTTTTGCCGCTTTCTGTTTTTATTTTCTGCTGCCATGATGTCGCAGATTACAAAACAAAATTCCAGAGGCATTTCACTGTTTTCCAGATCAAAAGCATTAGTGTGAACTATTGGTTCAAGCAGAGATCTGATTTATGATCTAGTATGTGTAGTCTGTTCATTGACTTAAATCTAAACCAAGAAAAGAAACACTGAGGCATCTGTTCACCCGTTTCTATAAATGCTCATCTCTCGGAGAGCTTTGGCCTCAATTATTTTTCAGGCCTATAGTGTGATATAGTGTAATATCTTTGACTGGACCAACATCTCTTGGTGAGAGAGACAAGCTTTTGAGCCACGCAGACCTGAAGAAGAGCTCTGTGTGGCTCAAAAGCTCGTCTCTCTCGCTAACAGAAGTTGGTCCAATAAAAGATATTCCCTCCCCCGCCTTATCTCGCTCATGTGATAGGCTTTCTGTTTGCTCCAAACCCAAAAACATACACAGAGGCTTATCCAAAGCCCTCTGAAATCAATTGAGAGACTTTCAAATGACTCCAGTAGGCTTTGGGTCAGGCCTACAGTGGAAATCAAGAAATTCTCATCTCCAATACTCCATCTCCAAAGGTTTGTTGAGATCGCTACTATATCTATAATCACTTCTAAGGCATTTATCTTAGCAGCATGCATGCACTTTGTACCTAAAATTGTAAAGGGTGACCAAATATGTTTTTTTGCAATCTGGAACAAAAAGACCATAACCAAAGTAAGGGAAGTTTGTTTTTCATGGAGTGGGATGTAAGGAGGTTTTGGAAGCTGGAGATGGAGGCAGGGGTGAGAGTAGTTCATCAGTAGGGCCTAGATACTTGGGTCCAGAGTATAACTAAGTCAATAGTAGTCACATGACAGGATTGTTTTCTTCCATCTCTCTCATACCCACTGCACATTTCATACTAGATACTACTAAAAATGGCTAAACTGACGTATCAGACGCTCTCTTTCTCTTGCAGCAAGACTATCTTGGGAAGCAAGTTTCAGGCTATCTCCAAGAACAATAGCTGCTTGTAAGGCATCCAGTGAAGTCAGAATAGCTTGAGGCTGCGAGTAGCATAATCACTTTTTGTGCTTGCATAGTGTTTCATTTTCAAAATGATCTGAGTGTGAGACAGTGAGTAACAAGATTTTTTCAAATCTCTTTAGCAGGATTTTATTCCAAATACTAACTTTTGCCATCACAGACATTTTCTTGTGATCGCTAAAAAGCAAAAAACATGCATTTGATGGTCCAGATTCTTCTTCCAGTTATGCCGTTGTAAATCAAGAGAAATTCCATTGATTTAAGTAGAGTTATTCTAGATATACATTGTTGTGCTAGGAATTTAGCCCCATATTTGTTTTTCGTTCTTAGGCAAGGAAAGATGCTTAAAGGAACATCAACTCAAAAATCATACTCTTTCTGAAAAGTTTGTACCAGCTGTTGTTAAAAGTAACATCTACGATGCCTAAAACTAAACCAGGTTTATGAAAAAGCATTACTTTTCTCTATTTTTTCAGTTGTTTACTTTGTGTACTTGATAACACTGTCAGTCATTTTTCCTTGTCTGTTGGTGTAGATCTGAATGGGTTTTTTTTTTTTTTAAATCACACACATCGGCATGGGACTCGGGCAGGTATAGTACATAGAATTTTTAAAATATTTTTTAAATGGACTAGATTTCAAGTTGATGGTGTCTCTTTTAAACAAGAACTTTGATATTGTAATAACAAATTGGAATATACATACAGTAGCAGGGAAAGTAATGTGTGAACAGATTCTGTAGGCTCTGTTATGGGTGCTACAGTCAAGGATTATAATGGGCATTGGGTTCGACTTGGGGGAACAGAAAAGTCTGAGGAGCTGTGTAAATAGGCAATAGAATTCAGACGCAATCTAAATTGACACCACAAGTGTCATGCTATGATGCACCAGTATGTAGGAGTTTGCATTGCAATGTGCTGTTGTAATGGCATACTGGCAGTGTATATCAATACAATCCAAATGTGAGGCCCTCTGCCAATGGCAGACCTGAAGTGTCTGGCATCTGGAAATAAAAACATGCACCACATGCTTAGACATGTCATAGTCACAAGAAATGTTTGCTGATGAGCAGCAGACTGCAAATCTGTAGGTATAAAATTCAAGATTGCTCTGTTGCCATTTTTATTTAAAAAGAGTTTGGTTGCAAAATGGGCTAAATAAGGAATCATAATGGAAACACACAGGCCCTTAATCTCATTTACAATAAATTCCCCTTTACACGGCCAGGTCAATTTTAAAGGGGCCTTAGTGCAAATGAAAATCAAGCCATTATATTTAAAATGCATTTTGTTCCCTTTTACAGATGTGACAGCAAGTCCATGTTTCGTGATGACTGCAGAGTTCTTAGCCCAGACTGGGAAATGAAAATGTGTTTCCATTCCTCATCCAGGTTAGGATGATATCCCTAATATACTGTGTTCCTCTAGACAGGGTGTACAAAAGCACAATGAACTCTAAATCAAAGTTATTCTTTGTTGCTCGTGCTTACATATTGTATATTGCTTTTTGCTGGAAACTAGTGTTTTTGTTTTATTAAGCTATGTTGTTAACAGGCCATAAAGTAGTAAATTACACTTACTGGAGGGTGTTTTCAACATTCATCTAGACAGGAATCATTTATGATCATGTAAATCACATAAAACTGGTGTGGGGGTGGGAGGTGGGAATGTGCGTTGTATTTTTTCCCAGTTACTGTTGTCTATCTGTAACATAGCCCACTGCAGTGTTGTCAGTTCCCTCAGCGGTGGCTGCCCTCACTAACACACAGGAGGAGTTTGCAGGCAGGAAAGAGCAGGTTTGATTGCAGGGTCAGGTGACTAAAGTTAGGTCATTTAAATCTGTAGTCTGGGATTTGGTTTTGGTTTTCCCCTCCCTTGCTCCTGCTCACTAATGGTTTTAATTGTAGCTGTCAACAGCAACCGCAGATTCTATGGTATATCTAAGTGTATGCACTTGGCGAGTTTGCCACCCACCAGCTTCTGTAATGCTCCAGTAAAGATGTGCCCGGATACTGTGTTCTACATGGCTTACTTCTTTTCAGTTTAAATACAAAGCATAGTGCCAGCCCACTGACACCTGATTACTTGCTTTTGAAATATGCCTTTATGGTTTTGTTATGATGCAGTGGCTACCTGAGCCATGCTGAATATGCTTGTTTCCACAAATGAGTACTTCACAGTTCTTTATGCTCCCTTAGAGCCAACATATCTGACTTTGTTACACCACTCGTTGCACTTTATAACATCTTGGACCAGCTTTTCAAGTGTCCCTGCTACCCACAGCCCAACCACACCCTTTTCCCCTGAAACAGCATCCTCGTCAGCCTTTCTGCCTGTTCCCTACACCACCCTCAGTGTAATTCCTCTTCCCACTGCTGCCACCACCTGCCAGCTGCTAAACCACATTTGGTATTTCATACTGCCCATACAGATGCTACTGCACCACAAGCTCTGAATGTAGCCTATAGAATGGATGCACCACCATCATGGCTGCCCTGTGTGTGTGTGTGTGTGTGTGTGTGTGTGTGAATGCACAAGTGCAGGGAAAAGACTCTCTCAAGCCTCCCCACCCTTCCTGCGCACCCATAGTGAAGTAGTCGGGATCTAGTCCCAAGTCTCTCAGAACAAATTCAGATTAATTCTTTTAACCCCCCAGTGCTTTTAAACCCCCCATTTCAACCCTCTAGGTTTCTATTTTCTTGTTTCTGTTTCCAGCTGCCAACTTGACAGGGGTGTTGCAGCTGGTGATGCGCTAGGGGATGTGATGTGATTCATAACACTGACATCACCTGCCATCCTTAAACAAGTGCTTGAAGAGTGACGCATGCTTCCTAAGCTTGAAATACCAACTTCATTTTGTTTGGCGCTGGAGTTGTATTTTTTTTTTCTCCAAACTCTTTTCAAGTACATTAGAAGTAAGATGATAATCACAGGCCTAGATCCTCCAGTGTGATGTGACCCTAAGTCTAGTTTAACTGGCCATGGGAGGTGCGTGGACATCTTCTGATAGCATAGAGCTGGCACAGAAAATCCTATCCTACCTTCCCCACCACTGCTACTGGTATAGGCGTTGTGGCCAGGAATCAATATGTCCTGCCCATCCCCACTTGTTGTTTGAATCATTTGCAACTGGTATAATTGCAGGCTTCTCTAAATTATGCCAGAGGACTGGACCACACACAGTCAGTCCAGGATGAGGGAACTGCACAGGCTACCCTCTGTGCTGTGCACTCTTCAACTATAGCCCAGGCTCTGGGCCAATCTGTATTCCCACAGAAAGGGTTTGATACATTCCTTGTCCATAGTGTGCTCACCTGACCATGAATTTGTGAATAGCCTTCAGTGCTCCTGCAGTTCAGAAATCAAGATTAAGTTTGACTGAAGGTGCAGCATTGTGGATGGGGGACATGTTCTCATTGCCCCAAAAGTCACAAAAATTCTTGCCACAGGAGTTAGCCTTGAAGTGACGTATATATTCCAGGGTTCTGCTCATACTGTATCTCATTGCCTAATGTAGCTCTTTATCTATTTGATTAAACATACGGCAGGTAATGAAAATTCACTGCTCACGGCAGGAAGTCCAACCAGAAATGGCTTCTTATAACTAGTCTAGGGGTGAAAAGTGGATACTTGGGAATCCAAAATGAAAGCACGTATTCGACCTCACTCCAAAAATATCGTTTTACTGAAAGAAAATTGCCCAAATTTAATCAAAGAAAATGTTTCTATATCAGCCTAATTTTTTTCTAATGTATGTCATTTTAGGAGCTAATCTGCCTATTAGAGAAGCCACGTCAAGGCCAAGTTTTCAAAGGGTTATGATTCCGTATACTAAAGGTGCTCCATAGGAGAGTATTAAAAATGGTAGCGTAAATTACTCTCTCCCACTACCCCACTCCTCAAGACACGGGTCACTTCAGCGTGTTATCTAAGGGAGTAAGAATCCATAGGTAAATTCCCAGGTTGTGGCACTTTTTTGTTGGTAGGGTATTCACTGCTATGCTAATCAACGGATGATTGACTTCCTTTTAAAATATGTTCTGAACCATCCTGAACACCAAAGATATTTTCTCATTCTCCAGGGAAGGAAGTGCTAGTTCATGTATTGATATTCTAGTACAGTAAGCCAAAGATTTGACTCACTCGATATAGCTACAGACCTCTGTAGAGACTCTGCCTTCATTTCCATGGCAGCTGCATAATACTGGTATTTCATATCTCAGGTTGGATATTAGGAAACACTATTTCACTAGGAGGGTGGTGAAGCACTGGAATGGGTTACCTAGAGAGGTGGTGGAATCTCCATCCTTAGAGGTTTTTAAGGCCCAGCTTGACAAAGCCCTGGCTGGGATGATTTAGTTGGTGTTGGTCCTGCTTTGAGCAGGGGATTGGACTAGATGACCTCCTGAGGTCTCTTCCAACCCTAATCTTCTGTGATTCTGTGATTCTATGAAGTAATTGATTCCACTGGAGCCAGATATGTTGGTTTCCTTGGACATGGCTGCCCCTCATTCTCTTTTGCGGTAGGGAAATATGAGCTTTGATGTTACTTAATGGTCATCTTGTCAGGAAATACTATGCAAACGAAGAGGTCACATGGCCTAGCATTTAGAGCAGAGGATGGAAAGAAATGAGCATCTTTAGTGCTAATAAAGTCGGAATTCACTGTGAGACCTCATGCAAGTCACTTGACAGCCTTGTGCCAGAGTCAGATTAGATGCAAGATTGGAGAAAACCAATGGTGTGCCGGAGCTGATCTTTCCAGGGTAAAAAATTCAAATTAATTAATTAATTGTACATTCCGGATAAAGCTGTCTGAGGGTAAAGCTACCTTTTATTGAACACAGTAAGGGATTCAAAAGCAATGGGTTGCCATTTCCATAAAATCTCACAAACACCCTTTCCTTAGGAGACAATTCTCACATGTATCCAGTGTTGTCATAGCCACGTCAGGTCCCAGGATATTAGGAAGACAAGGTGGGGGAGGTAATGCCTTTTATTGGTGAGAGAGAGTGGCTTCAAGGCTTGTCTCTCTCACCAGCAGAAGTTGGTCCAATAAAAGATAGTTCTCACAAGAACATTCAAACACTTTGGCTCTCAAGGACAGCCTCACAGAGGAAAGGCCCTGAGAATGGAATTGTCACCATCTGCTGTGCCATGCTTTTGAGACCCAAGACCTATAGAGCAATTTAACTCATGTATTTGTTTTTTACCACCTTTGCTAATTATTGAAGACCGCTGGATTTACATGACGGTATGCTCTGTTCCTGATTAAATTTTTCCTGCTGATCCTGCAGGTCTGTCATACGTAGTCACCCACAAGTTGCTGCTGACCTGCCTTAGAGGTCTTGTGGGGATAAATGGAAGTGCACTGAGACGGCAACAGTCCTTCCTTTCAGACCAAACCCAGACAGTTTGATAAGCATCTGCACTTCAGCCACCTGAGCTCTAAGCTGCTGGGGTCCCACAGAGCTCTGTCCTTTTCCTCTTCTTAGTCATCATTCATTTAAAATGACTAGGACAGAATGTCACATGCCAGGGTCTCAGATGCGAGCAGTACACAGGTAATGCACAGCTGTGCATTTCCTTTTTATTAGGTGCAGAAATAACCACCTCCCAGCTATCCCAGTGTCTGTGTGAAAGCAGAACATGTGTGAAGAACAGCTGACTGAATCCCAGAAGTAAAGAGGCAATGCCAATGGGAAAAGTTATCACCGCTGGTTGCTGAGGAGTCAAATCACGGATCATCAATAGGGCACACCATTTGGGGGTCTCTCTGAACTCCTTGCTGATCTTAAAGGCCAAAATAGCAACAGCCACTAGAAATGTTATCATCCACTTGCAGCTAGACAGGAGACTGCATCCTGTTCTGATAGACATGGTGTGAGTCACACTTTCACAACTGCCTGACTCAACTATTGGAATGTCCTGCTTCTGGGAATGAATATGCAAGCTATGGGGGGAAACTCCATCTGTTCCAGAATGCCACTAAACAACAATTATAGGCAAGAGCACAGGACCATTAGAAATACCACTAAGTACCACCACTCTCTACTGCAGTGGTTCCCAAAACTGTGGTCTCTGGACTGCCAGTGGTCCACGGAGACTTTGCTATTTGTCCACCAAAGTTAGCTGGTCACACATTGCTGGGTCTCCTTGTTTAAAAAGTTCAGGAATCCCTGCTCTTTACTGGATGGAATGTCAAACCTTCTCAAAAACAACAAGGAGTCTGGTGGCACCTTAAAGACTAACAGATTTATTTGGGCATAAGCTTTCGTGGGTAAAAACCTCACTTCTTCAGATGCATCTGAAGT